GGCATAACAGCACTGGTGGTGAAGGTGGTGCTCCCTGTGTCTGCTGTTGCTGCGCACAGGTGGGGGGTAACGTACAGAGGCCAGAGGCTCAGAGGTGCTGGAGGGCAGCCTGGAGGAGGAGGAGGAGGAGCGTTGGCTGGTGGTGGTGGACAGGCCAGTGCAGGAGCGATCGCCCTGGCTGAGGTTTCTCTTGCGTTCACGTACCAGCGCCTTCTGGTGGCGCTTCATCCGCTCCAGCTGCTCCTCCGCAGTCATTCGACCTTGAGGCTGGCTGCCTGGGAGCTGCAGGACCTCTGTAGGCGATGACAGTCGCTCCAAGGCACTCTTGGGTCTGTCCTGGTGAGACAGGGAACAAGAAAAGATATGTAGGGAACTGGAACAACGTCAGGATGGAAATGAGAGCGGGGATGGATGGTTAGTGGCTTATGAGAAGATGAGAAGCAGCCAGAAAGTAAAAACGATGTAAGGGACAATGAAACATGTTTAAACTAAATGGTGAAAGGAATTGTAAACAGCAATAAGAAAAGTGACAGGTACAAAATCCATACAGTAACAACAAAAACACAGCTTAATTTCCTAGAAAGAATCTTATCACTCACATCAAATGCTACCTGTACCTAATACTTTTACTGCATATATTAAAACATATTAACTCTGTATTTTCACTTCTGCAAAAGAGGACGGTGCATGTCATTGAGAATCTTTCATGCCTCATATCCAAAACTCTAAATGTGCCATTAAATAGAAGATTAAAACAGGATTATCAACAAAAGCAGGTCTATGCAAACACATCTCAGGTATCTGCATAATTCTCCACCCTCGAGCTCCTGACTCACCCTGACTGCAGAGCTCCCGGGGCCTTTCCTAAGTGTAACATAGGAGGAGATAGAATTCGACTGGTTCAGTCGAGATGAGGAGCCTGACAGACCTAGTTCATAACAGAAAAAAAAATCTGTTCAGTTTGGCTTAGTTTAATTTGTAAAGAGACAAAAAAGTGACAACACAGGGACAAAATGCAATGTACAAGGACATGGGTTAGAAAAGTGCCCTTTTACACAACATTAGAAAACTCTGCTGCCAAAAAAGCTCAAATTAGAAACAACCACATCGCAATGCACCTTTCAATAAGAACACCTAAAAACAGAATTACCGCTCCATGGTTGGATGCCTCCAGCAACCAGTCAGAATTACAGGTATAGGACAAAAGTGAGGTCACTGAGCTTTTGACTATCAAAATCTTATCAGTTCATCTTTGAGTCAAAGTAGACATTTGTGCCAAATTTTAAGAAATTCTCTCAAGGTGTTCCTGAGATTTCACATTCACAATAATTGTACAGATGTACAGACAACCTGAAAACATAATGCCTCCGTCCGTGACTATTGCTGGCACGGAGGCATGAAGAAGACATTTACATTTTAAAATAATCTGTGGAGAGGTTGTGGGACATGATCCAAGTAACAAGAAACTATTACCTGTAAAATGAGCAGTATATTCATCTGACATGTTACTGTTCAGATACCTTTGGCTGGGAAATACTGGTAGTCAACATCAGACCCGGTGCTGTGCTGGCTCATCCCTGGCAGCTCTGGTTCACTCAGGTATGATCGCAAGTCAGTCTGAAATCAGAAAAGGTCATACATGATACTGTCAAGTCCTTTGGTGGTGTTCGATTTGTGAAGCCGAATCCATAGCACTAATTCCACAAGGTCTTACATTATACAGTATTTCAAAACCCATAAAGAAGGCCTTCAGTCTAAGATTAAACGATTAATTTACCCAAACTGGATGCGCTCTGCACTCCACCCAACAGGAGGAGCTGTTTTTTTCTTTATACTGTAAATGACAGCATACCTTACAGTCTCCATTGACAACATACTGCCCACTCTCCCTGTCCCTCTTCCTCTCATCTGACTGGCGTTTCAGTCCACGCACTGATGTGTGGCGGATGACCGAGGCCTCTTTGGGGAGAGGCGGTACCACAGGGGGAGTCTCCTCATAGTCGTAGAGGTGGGGAAGTGGTGGCCTGGGTGGGGCGCTGTCCTCTGCCTGAACAGTAACCAGACCGACCAGGATAGTAAGAAATGCTAATGGCTAATTTATAACCCTAATCTCAGTTTAAGTAAACTTAGACTAATTCTGCTGTTTTTTTACAAGAGCGACACTCACCCACTGTGGCACCGTGCTGGGAAGTGAAGTATGGGAGAGGGTGCTGCGAGGCGGAGACTGAACCTCTGTGCTATGAGAAGGCACTGCCGGCTCTGACACCGAAGGCACTAATTTCCTCTCTAAAAGTAAATGCGAATACACAGCACTCAATGTTTAGCTTTTAAATGTACACAGGTTTGAAAGTGATTTATGGTCAGGAAAGAGAGACATACTGTATCTGATCACCTTCACACTGAAACAAAGAGACATGTAGACACAGTTTCTTTTTGTTATCAAGTGTAAACATATCACTCATGCAGTTTTCCAATCATCTACTATCATCTGTCTGGTTGCTGTGGTCTTCCCACCTGGGTTCTGGACAGAGTCGATGGTGATCCTGTAGTTGGCTTTGCTCGCACTAAGTCCTGCCATCACATCCTCAATCCTCCACAACTCACGCTTCATCTCAGATTTCTCTTGCTGTATAACAACACACGGACACACACACACAGTTTAGTCTGGCTTGGCTCAACTGTTACATATGTGATTATTTATAAAAGCTTGCAAACAGTTTTTAACTGTGCTGTCCGACCAATGAACAGTGACAAAAGAATATGGAAGATATCTGTATATACAGACAGGTGGCAAATTAATGGAAAAGCCTGATTAACTGATTAGAGAAACACAACAAATGCTGGCATGGTTCAGGTCCACTACAAATCAATACAAAGTTGTTCTGGGATATTGTATATAAAATCCAATCTGTAAAATAAACCTGGCTGCTGAATCTGAAGAACCAGAGATGTTAGTTTGAGTAGTATGTTTGAGTAGATGTTAGTAGAGGTGAACCTGCTCTGAGCTGCAGTATCACATCTCACCTGTGTGGTGGCGCTGTGGTTCATGTGTGCCTGCAGCACTGTCCTCAGCTGCTCCACTGATCTCTCCAACTGGTTGTATTCTTCCCAGGCGAGTGCCATCTCCTACAAACAAACACACACAGTTTAAGGGTGCACCTGCAGTTTTAAAATACCCAGTTTACAAGATACATGTATAAAAACTGCCATGTTTATACAAATTTTCCCATTATGTGCACACAAACCCATTTACAGGCATCAGTGCAGATACACTCTCACACATACAAACATGCACCTGCTACAGGTGCACACAACGACATGCAGATGTATGCATGCATATTCACAACCGTTCACATGCACTCCGAATGGATTCATAAATACACATAAGAAGACGAACACAATGAATAACTCAATGTTTTTAAGCAACTTTCTGCAAAATCTTTAACAATTTAATTTCAAATCAAAGTACACTGCAAACAAAAATTTTAATTAGATTTTTTTGTGATGCAATGCACAACTATGGACACAGTTAAATTTTATGAGGTCATATGTGATTTTTGCATTTAGTTACATTAGTGAAATACATACTGTGGTTAGAATCAGTTCACATAGGATATTAAAAAAAAACACTGTTAAACTGTCTCTCCAACACATTGACATACTGTGGAGAGGCGTGAGATCTGGGCCCTGATGGTGACCAGATCTTCCTGCAGCAGCCTCTGCTGGTAGGCGATCTTGTGGGCGTGGGCTGGCTGCTCCTGGTACTGCTCCATCTGCTGGTGGGAGACATCCAGTATGCTCTCCAGCTTGTCCTGACGGAACGAGGGGTTGAGAAGCACAAGGTCAACCACAGCAACTCAGAGCCACTTCCTTCACAGAATGTGGCTCTAAAATGTGCCTTTAGACTATTCAGCAGGTAACAGTTGTTCATAAATGCCTTCAGAGTGTGGAATGCTTCCACGGGCACCATGAGATCTTATTACACTGTGAGTGCTGATTCTAGAAAGAAACCAACTGTGTGTTGAATACAGGAAAAACTCAGTGTCATCAAACTCCATATCTGATAGCAGTATGCTTCGTCTTCCTGACAATCATGTAGCATTTAATCAAATTTTCCAACATTTTTGCCTGTTGGCCCGTCACTCTGACTGAGGTTGGTTGGTAGAATGATGCGGTCTGACTGACAGAGGACCTACAGCGTAGACAGTACTGTAACAAGCACAGCATGTACCTTGTCCTCCTTCAAGGAGCTGATCCTCGCTTCCAGATCCTTTAGGATCTTGTCCTGCTCACACAAACGACTCAACTTCACCTGCAGGGGGAGAGCCAGAGCTGAGTGGGCATGGGGGTGGGGGCATTGCAGAAACTATGCTCTCACAGATAAAGCCCTTCTCCTGTGCTCAGCTAAGTATGTGCATCTGTTGACCTGTGATAATTAAGTGGCCCATTTACTTAATTACAACTTCCCTGCGTCTCTGCAGTGTAAAATATATGTGTATCTGGGCATAAGTTTGTGTTGTTTAAGTATAATGATGTGTTTATGTGCATGTTTACAGTCTCTTCTTTAATGTTTGAGTGTAGGCATGCAGGTTTGTAACACTTAATATTCATAGTTTCCCAGATCCCCGGGTCTTGTTCGGGTGTAATTACTCTGAGTGAGCCCATTAACAAAGTGGGTACGACCCATCTGACACTTAATTGCAGTGTCAGGGATGTACTGAGCCTTGTTAATTAATCCCCGATTAAACTCAGCTAACTTCACGCAAAGGTCGGCTCACTCTGTCATCCTGTGGTAAAACAACACAACAATCACATAATAAAGCTGTGGATGAACAGGTCAATGTGAACAAAGTGCTCATCCATATACATTTTTACTCTGTTAGCTTTTTTATTCCATCAAATAAATTATTAACCCCGCTGCCATCTCCACTGAGATGTTGTTGGATCTAATCAAATATTCATTGCCGACAACATGCTCATTAATTGTGTATAAAGCTTATACTGAGATACTGTCATAAGCGAAAACAAGAAAGAAAAACCTGCAGGCCGTTGTTTGGATTATCTAATTGAAAGTTATGACATTTACCTACTGACACTCCTGCAAGCTGCTTTACCCTTAAAGCAGGAAAGGTTACCACATTTTCTACAAGATCTAGATTTTGTTTTACGTCAATTACTCCAATTTTTCCCCCTCTTGGACAATGGTAATCAGTGCTGCACCCTAAACAAAACAAAGTTCATGTTTGCTTGTCCGTGGTGAAAAAACCTGAACCAGAGCTGAGTGTGTGTAACTGAACCAGACTGAACAATCCTACAAGTTATTTTAACTAGAGTAGAGAAAACTGCATAAGAATATATAACATATGCATTGGTGTTTTTATTCAACAAATTGTGGTATGTAATGAGGGAACAAAAAAAAAAAACATTTAAAATGCCTTAATTCTCAATGCCAACCTTTGAATTTAAATCAAAAACTAAACACAACAGCTCTTTTTGCCAAATTTTAATGTCCTACTAACCAAGATACAGGACAAACAGGACCAAAATAGTTCTAGCGACAGTGTGGGTGAGTGGATCCAGTTTGGAATTCAACACACTGAGAGCATTGAGCTTGTACTTACATCCACGTCACTTTCTGCAACCTTGACGGGTTTCCCTGACTCTTTCACCGTCTGACTTCCAACTGCCTGGAAATTAGAATATAAACCCTTTCAGTTGTAAAACAACTCCATGGCACAAAGGTGCTGAAATAAAGGAACTACAGAACACAAGCGACCACCTACAAACTCTTACAAGGCTGAGACAAACTGTTGACACATTCTCTTAGCCTCATGTATGTGAGAATATGAGTGGCACACAAAATCAGCTCGTGCCATGAAGAACACAATGGCTATTGCACACTTTGAAGCCTTAGCAAAATGACTGGTCTGTAACACTTCTATACATGATACCTCCTACATACACAAAAGTTGCAATCATTGTTACCAAATAAAAAACTAATTGCTGCAGGAACACATACTGGACTGCATGAGTCCAGTTTTACTGTGGTTACTGACAGGGTTCTACAGTGCTAGAATATCCTCCTGGAACACTTATGCTAGTTTGAAAATCATTCAAATAGAGCACGTGCAAATTTAACTGTGACAAAAATCAACAAATCTCACTGATAACAGTTTTTCTTATGCTTTGGAATCATTAGTTTAGGAGTGTGTGTGTATGTGTTTTTGGGTAAAAAGCAGAGAGGACACAGTAGAGCCCTGTGTTACTGTCAAGGAGGTGCAGCGTTTCAGAGACGATGGTAGAAGCAGCAGCTGGCTTTTCAACCACCGGGCCACAGTCACAGCCACAACACATGCACTGCCGAGCCATCCCATGCCCACTATTCGACACCATTGTCACATGGGAGGGCGGTGGATAAGTCAATAGTCACATGGAGATATGATGTTTAAAGCCAAAACTTGTATGTGGTGCTACAAGCAATAGGATGGTCTTTCTAGAACACACGCTCTAAACACATGAACACACACACTCATGCATGTGTCCCTACTCTGAACACTGGGGTTTTCAACTAATTGTAACCCAGGGACCACGAATCTGACTAATGGTGTATTCACATTACAGCAGACAAATGGCAGAAAAATGTGTTCTATACAATAACATATGATCCCCATATCGAGATCAGACAAAGATGGACAACCTATTTAGCTGGAAAAACATCTTCACACAAATGCTGCTACTAAGATTATTTAAAAAAAACAAACATTTGAGCCTCTAAAACTTAGTGATCTATTGCTAGCAACATTAGCATTGTAGCTAAGAAAGTGCACTTTCGTACGGCACCCTAAAGACTTTCTACTTGAGTTTCTGTGCTGACTAGCATGGAGCAAGCAGCACAAAATGCAAATTTTTCTGCTGTTGTGAATACACCTTAAGAAGTAACCTGAAGATGATAGTTGTGTGGTAGATAAACCGGATGGGCTTTATTTTAATCCTGGAGGTCCCCTTGGCTTTTATTAGTGCTTTATGTTTACATGAATAAAATCATTAACAAACAATAAGTGATACATGGAAATGTGTTTAAAAAAATTTAAAAAAAGATTCCTTCAGTGAAATTACATTATCAAATGCATAGTCAGGGACCACATGCAATGGCTTTGAGGGCCACCAAGGGGCCACAGACCACTGGTTGAAAACCCCTGCTGTAGAAACATGCACAATTTTAACTGTACACACAACCACAGACACATAACATAGAACACTATGTTTATATTACAGTTTTTATATGCTGAACACAGACACACACACACACACACACACACACACACACACACACACACACACACACACACACACACACGTATACAAAGAGCTTACGTTCATTAGAGGCCTGAGTGGCCCAGCAGTGCAGTGCAGTAGTAAACTGTGAACTGCGAGGATCAGGGGCTCTAGAGCTCTGATCTGGGAGTTAAAAATCACAAAGACACAGAGCCGCTATCACAAAATGGCGGCTGATTTCATGAGATGCTCCAAAAATCACTCAAGATGACTGCAAGAACTTGAGGATACTCTGTCCCACACAAACGTCTGTTTGTAGCCATGACTCACTAACGTCTTTGTTTGACAGTTTAACATGGGCCACAAGGTTAGAAGTTGTTGTTGGTTAGAAACAGCAAATGTGTTAGTTTGAGACAGACATTTCATATCAGAAAAGCCACACTCGAACTAAAGCAGGATAGAATTTAAAATAACAGGGATCGGGGATAAACTCTCTACATCTCACCTTTAGGTCCAAATACTCCAAGTCTTTCTTCAGCTGCATATAGGTGTCATCAGCCTAGAGGGTGACAAACGTGTGTGATTTATCGATTGGTGTCATTGGTGACCCTGCAGAGGTATCACCAACAATCATCTTGTAGGATGCAGTGAGATTTGTGTACCGAGTATGACATGTTACCAGCTGATATGTGCCTGTGCTAACATGCAACACAACACTCACACATACAGTAAAAACTGTTCGGAGATGTTTTGTCACTTCTACTGCAACAAACAAAACACCAGCATAAACCAGATTGATCAGAAGCAGCAGATCCTGAAAGGTGACAGAATTCAACTTTGAATTCTGCTCATGTCACTCAACAAAAAACAAACTTAAGCGCGGCCAAAAAACAAGACAATCTGAGGATTAAGCTGATCATCACATCCACAGACAGCCAGTTAGCCAAAGCACAGGATGGCTTTGTGGACGTTGAAAAGTTAGTAGCATAACATGCTGTGGACAGTATCACTAGAAGCACAGTATAGACACTGACCAGCCAAGAGCAGCACATAGATCAGAGGCGGGTGGTTCTATGACGGCAGCCAGGCCAGCACTGACAGATGAACCATGCCCGATGTCATACCACTAAAGCACGGGAGCTTTTAGACAGAGGTTGCCACTAACATACTAAGACTAGGCTATTGATGCAACTGTTGTTTTAACCTTGGTTTTACTTATCCTGAGACAGTTTATTTTCAGCGCTCTTTCCCATTTAGAGATGGGGACCTAGTACAAGATCAACTGGGATTTACAGGTTTGGCCTTAGATTGTGTCAAGATGTCAGTAGTAGTGAACATGTCTGCCATGTTATGAAACCTTTGTTTGGCAAGTCTGTTTAATGGGGAGTGTTAAAGTAATCTTGTGTAGATATTTTATGATCATCATTCAACAGTCACAGTAAAAATTTATGCAGTTGCCTTCAACTCATTCACTGTTTCGTGGTCAGTCCACTAGTGCTGGTGGTGGCGGTGGTGGACTGGTGAGGTCACTGGGAGGCACCAAAGTCATAACATTTTAAATTCTACGCAGTGGTTTTAAGGTACTGTACAACAATTCAATTTATGCAAACAAGTTTCTTAACAGTTATAGTGGAGGAGTTTAAGTGTTTCACATTATTTTTCACAAAATCTTTTCAGGAATCAAAGCACTGGACAAATAAAGATTATAAAGCATCATCCTGCAGGAATGAGAAATGTCTAGTTGCTAAGCTATTTCACTGTGGGCCAAAGTTCTGGACAGACAGATTAACAGAAACTGACCAGCAGTGCCATTCATAGAGCCATTAATAATGGAGAAATAGTACGGTTCAATTACGTTTCTCAAAGAGGAAATGTACAACAAATTGTGTGAGGTCAATAAACAAGGAAATAACTATAGTAGGCTGTGGAAGTGTCCTGCAGCTCTGTTGTATGTTTTATGGCAACCTCTATTACCCTCTGGTAAAATGAGGGGCAGGCAGGTTGGCATGACGCAGGGGCCCCCACCTGAGTGTTGCAAGGGCCTACTGGAGCTGAGAGGCCCACATGTCCGAGGCGAGACACAGGAGAGGGGCCGGAGCTGATGAGGGGGCTCGTGCTAGTGGTGGCGGTAGTGAGGAGGTGGCTGCAGTGGAAGGGCTCTTTGAAACTGTTGAGCTGCTGGAGCTGGGCTAACATGTGCTGGCGCGCAGACGCCATCTTGGCCTGATGTCGGCGCAGCTGAATGAGGAGCAGAGTGAGCTCCTCAGGCTGTCAGGCACCACAGGACAGCAAACCTATCAAATGTTAATACTGGCCGCACCAAACTCTGTGAGACTAGCTTTAAATCAGTAGCTTTAACTAGCAAATGTGAACACGCAGAACTGCAGCTAAATGAGTATTAATGGTGTTGATACAAAAGGCAGGAGCAACACAGTGTACTCAACAGAATGGTAAGGAGCACTTCTCCCAGAGGTTCGACTACAGCCAACTGATCAGTTTTGACAAGAGACCGATTCGTGTTCGACCAGTATCAGATAACATTTTACTTGTAGCAGAGACCGAATTCACATCTGGTAACTGATTTCCTGAGAAAGTGACAGTTGCTGAAAATTCATTCGACCTTGTAAATGGTCTCCTTACACTTTAAGGCTTCTGCTCTAATTTCCACTTAGAGACAAAAATGTACCCAAGTACAGCCAACAGATAGCTAATGTTTGTTTAAAGGTTAATACGTACAATATACTACAGCATGTTTTATGTAGTTATTTGTAGAACATACCGTTTTACCATGAAGGCTGGGTGCACTGACTGTGTGTGTCATGTAGCCAGAGGGAGGCATCGACCGTCTCTCGATAGTAGCAGCCTGATAACACACAGACAACACATTCTATATGCACGGTTTGATATTTATAAAGTAACACAAAAATCATATTAAAGTGCAATATAGTAAATATGATCAAAACGGTGAAGAATCTGCTCTTGCTGAGCCTCATCATCAAAGGCTACGATTCTTATTTTGTGGATAAAATGTTTTATATGACCTCGACAACAAAATTCTGTGTTGCTTATCATCTCTGCAATGAAGCTGCATATATTAGTGGGAGAGTGGGTGTACATTTGCATACTTGTGTCTTAATATTTAAAAAGTGATGTGAAACAAATGTACTTATGCATATTCAAAATGTCGTGTACAGAGTACAGCTGACAGTTTGTTTGTGGCTGGTTGGTGATGCAGTGGAGGTAACAGACTGGCTATGGCCTTAAGGATACGTCTGCCACTGAAGCCCACGGCACCACAACAATTATTCTGTTCAGCGGAGCACAGTTCCAACATCCACCACACACTGTCAAAATGACTGACGCTGTTCTGGGTGAGAAACATTTCTCTTTTATATTTTGCACTTGACAGTGGATAAAAGTGTTAATGGTCCAATCTCTGGAAACAACAAGCGAGATAGTGTTAATTTTACACAATCCATGCAACACAACACACATACGTCATGCCAGTTAAAATGTTATAAGTATGAGCACAGTGAAAACAGAAATTTAGGTTTACTAATTTTATGCTGCCTCAGATGAGAGTGTGAGCTTAATGTGTGCC